TAGACCAGAATTAAATAAGGTAACTGTGTAAATAAATGGTATGGTAAAGGACAAATATAGAACTGTCATTGTTTCTTACACAGTGAAACCTGTGGGAGCCAGAACTGGACAGGACTGCCTTGTTTTCTGGGTCTCTCTAGTTTTCCACCTTTGACGGGGGCAGTCTTCCCCCTTTTCTATAGCTTGTTTTGGTGGAAATATTTTCATTCTCCTTCTCTGACAGGTTTGTACTCTTACACAGATTCCAGCTTTCACAGGTTTTACTGTATAACAAATGTTGTGACCTTAGGTCACACCAAAAGGAAAGGACAAAGATCGATAAATTGTCCATTTCAAAATTTAACACTTCAACTGGACAGAAGGGGAGCCCCTGGGTAGTGCAAACCGTTAATGTGCTTGGCTGCTAACCGAAAAGCCAGAGGTTTGTGTCCACCTAGAGGCCACTGAAACCCTGTGGAGCATAGTTCTGTTGTGACACACACAGGGTCACCAGAAGTCGGAATCAACTCAATGACAGCTGGTATAATAGAAAAATGGGCAGAGGAAAATAGGCAGTTCATAAAGAAGAAAATAAATGTAGCCAAAAAACACATGAAAATATGCTGGACTGTATGAAGAAGAACATGGCATCAGGATTGGTGGAAGACTCAATTACGCAGATGACACAGCTTTGCTCGTTGAAAGCAAAGAGGACTTGAAACACTGATGAAGATCGAAGACTACAGCTTTCAGTTATGGATTACACCTCAATATAAAGAAAACAAAAATCCTCACGACAGGACCAATAAGCAACTTCATGATAAACGGAGAAAATATTGAAGTTGTCAAGGATTTTACTTTACTTGGGTCCACAGTCAACTCCCATAGAAGCAGCAGTCAGGAAGTCAAACAATGTATTGCATTGTGCAAATCTGCTGCAAAAGACCTCTTTGAATTGTTCAAAAGCAAAAATATTACTTTGTGGACTAAGGTGCACCTGACCCAAGCCATGGTATTTTCAGTTGTCTCATAGGCATGCGAAGGCTTGACAATTAGTAAGGAAGACCCGAGAAGAACTGATGCATTTGAATTATGGTGTTGGTGAAGAATAGTGAATATACCATGGACTGCCAGAAGAACAAACAAGTCTGTCTTGGAAGAAATAAAGCCAGAGGACTCCTTGGAAGTGAGGATGGCGAGACTTCATCTCATGCACTTTGGACATGTTATCAGAGGGATCAGTCCCTGGAGAAGGACATCATGCTTCGTAAAGTAGAGGGTCAGTGAAGAAGAGGAAGATCCTCAACGAGATGGATTGACACAGTGGCTGCAACAGTGGGCTTAAACATGGCAACGGTTTTTGTACATGGGGTCTCTATGAGTTGGAACAGACTAAACGGCACCTAACAACAGTAAAACAGTAATGAGAGACTGTTATCAACCCATCAGATTTGCAATTATAAATATTGTCAGCAAAAAATCAGAAGCAATCTAAATGTCCATCAATAGGGTAGCTAAATAAACTGTCAGTCATACTATGGAATAATATGCAGATGATAAAAAGAATGAGATAGAGCTAGGTGTATTAGCACAGATAAGACACATTGTTGGGTGGAAGAAGAGAGTAAAAATATAGTATGTCATGTAAATGCAGTTTAATACCATTTGTGTCTTAGGTATTTATATGTAAATGCACAGAAAAGAATCCAGAAAAATAAACTGCGAACTGATAACAATGGTTGCTTCTGATGATGGGATTCTAATATTTAATCTTTATAAGAAGAATATATTACTTGTATAATCAAAGTTAATTTTATTTAAAAAAAGAAAAGAAACAGATAACTGAGTGAGGGGAGGAGGGAAAGCTCACTATCAACAGCAGCAAAAGCTAAAAATGCCTCCAACTAAAACCTGGAACAAATATGTAACAGATTTACATAGAAAAATATAAAACATAGTTAAAGGTTATAAATAAAAATATGAGTAGTTGGGAAGAGTCCATGCTTCTGTAATGGAAGGCTCACTACTGCAAAGTTACTACTCTCAAAATTATTAGTAAATTTAATAAAATTTCAAAGTCCTGATGAGGTTTTGGAGGGAAGTGTGTCAAGTTTGGAAACCCTAGTGGCATAGTGGTTAAGTGCTACGGCTGCTAACCAAAAGGTCGGCATTTTAAATCCACTAGGTGCTCCTTGGAAGCTCTAGGGGGCAGTTCCACTCTATAGGGTTGCTATGAATCGGAATTGACTTGATGGCAGTGGGTTTGGTTTTTTTTTGCTGTCAAGTTTATTTGAAAGAGTAAATGTGTCAGAAGCAGCAAGGAAGTTTAAAATATATATAATAACGGAATTTACCCTGCCAGTTATCATAATACAGCTAAAAGTTCTGGTAATTAAAATACTGGAATGGTACAAAATAGGCAGACAAATAGACCAGTGGAACAGAATAGAGCATTCAGCATCAACATATGTTTATTTATGCCATATTTTTTTAATTCTAAGACATCTTTTCAAATCTTAGCATCTTTGACAATAGGATGCATCTTACAATTAATGTAAACTATGATGAGTACCATAGTTTGACAGCTTTTTTTCTTTGTGGTATATAAATTATAGTATATGATACGACATTGTAAAAACAGCTTGAGGGCAGTGTCTGACCTCCGCTTACTTCACAAGGGAAAAGGAGAATCAAGCCAACAGCCGAAGGCTCATTCCCATGAGGCGGAGGTCAGACACGCCTCCTCTCTCTGCCATCTTTACTAATTCTGACACCAACCGTCCCTCCCACAGCACCCTCTGCTAGGTTTGATAATTCATTGCAGTGTCCACACAGAACTCACAGGTCATATTCACAATTACGGGGTTTATTAGGAGAGTAACAGTTACAATTCAGGCTCAGGAACACTCAGGATGTAGTCCTTCCATCAGGATAGCTTCTCCCCAGCCGTGCTTGCAGGCACGTCTCTCCGTGGCCCTCAGTCTCTGCTCAGAGGTACTCACCTTTCTCTCTCCATGGGCCAGGAAGCCCACTGCATCATCTCCTGCTGCTGAGTCTCTCCTTTCTCGTTGGTGGTGGGCTCCTCCTCTCGGCTCTGGAATCAGCTCTCCTTAAGACAAAACTGACCAATCCCCTTGATAGGCCACAATTCCCCTATCACACAGTCACCAGGCTGGGAATTACAAGCCCATGGCCAGAGAGGCCACACACAAAAGTAATCGCACCGCAGACATCTTAAATCTGACATTTTAGATTCAGTGAAATTGTGTGTGTGTGTGTATGTGTGTGTATTTAAATTTAGCTCAGGAGGTTCCTATCCCAGTACTCACAGTTATGAAGTTTCAGAGGTAAGCATAAGTAGACACAACATTAAAGTATTAACTAACAAACTGATTGAAATGAGACCCAACTCAAACGTCCTTCCAAGCTTTATGTAAGACCCTTATCTCCATCCTTGATATTTGCTGACCACCTAACAGTACATTAACATTGATTGCATACTGATGTTACAAATATTGGAAAATATGCAGGACTTCCTGAAATCTGTGAAAATGATGTTGGAGAACTACTTAAGTCATCGACAAAGTCACTGGCAAATTAAGGATCTGGTTTTATTTTTAAAGCTAAACTCCCAATCAAATCTTTTTTTCACTGTTTGTTACGAACTTTTGGTATCTATTTTAAGTGTGTTCACTTTAAGTGACCTATGTTTGATATAGATTATCCTCAGAGAAGAAGGACATTCTACATATGATACAGGTGGCATTTTAATGGGAAAAGGGTGTACTATTCAAAAAAACTGTAATAGGGTAATGACTCTCTTTGCTGGACAAAATAATTTTTACATCTCTGCCTCACAAAAATAAATTCCAGATAAAATATCTGAACATGAAAACATATAAAAATTGCAAAGGCAAATAGTTTTTGAAAAGCCCAAGAGTCTTAGAGCATGCATTCTCAGTGGGGTGGTATTGTCTCCGAGGGAGTGAAGATTGGTTCGTGGAGGGTAACAAAATCCTAGATATTACAGAGGTTGGTTGCCCTTACAGGACCACAGTACAGCAGCAGATGTCCAGTATATCTGTGGTCTTAAAATTTCACTGGGCGGGAGCACAGGGGCAGGGGCATTTAGGGAAAAAATGCCTAAAAAGGTTTAGTGGGGAGAATAATTAAAAAAAAGTTTTGAAACACTGCCATAGAAGAACAGTGACAGATTTGACTCTATAAATTTTTTTTATATAAATATTTTAAAGTTCCTGATGATAAAAGACACCATAAACAAAATTAAAAGACTAGTGACAGACTGGGAGAAAATAATTTCCAACTTATTTAATGGACAAAGGAATATTATCCTTATTATACAAGAGTTCCTAAAAATAGTTAACAGCAAAACAGCCTAATATGAGTAAAGGACATGCAGTGGATGTTTGCTTTATTTCCTATGGTAACTCCATTTCTCAGACCATTTGGTAACCATGAGATGTGAATGAACATCTGCATTTCCAAAGTAATTACACCGTTTGGGGGGCCCCTTCTGTTTTAGGTAGGTTGACCTGAAGCCTCTGGGAGGTGTGTCACTACACGGTGGAGACAAAGTGGCATTAAAAAAATAAACAGTTTTTAATTTGTTTTCCTTTGTTATATTATGCCTGTTACTACTATTTGAATGTATTGTATTTACAGCTGAACCTAAAATTTTTTTTGTTAAAAAAGATGATTTTGGCTATTTCATATGCCTTTATTTAAAACAAATTGCAGGAATTTTCATGGTGAAATATTTGGGAATATTTTATTAAATATAAAGATTATGTTCATGGGTATAAAATATTAAATATCCTAAATGTTTACATGCTAAACTAAATATTAAAAATTATAAATATTAATGATATTCCTTTTTTGTTATCTTAAAAGTTAATTAGAATCATAAATGTGGCTTGTAATGGTAGTGAAATATAGCTATTTAGTCTCTCTATATGCGTATTTTATTTTTATTTACTTGTTTTCATTTGGCTTTTTATTAGCAATCCAGTGGGGAGAAGATGGCCGTCCATTTCATTTTCTTTTTTATACTGGCAAACAATCATATTATTCATTAATGCATGTAAGTATATTACATTTATGATAAATAATATTCACTGTAAGCTAAGTAACTAATTAGACCAGAGATTTTTCTCAAAAACATCAGCATTTACTCAGTATTTTCATCATGGAGAAAAATAAGGCTTCTAGAGGTAAGTCAGTGTGTTGAAAGGCTTCGTATTGTATTTAATTTTGGGAAAGATAAACTAGAGTTTATATCACGATGGTTTGTCCTTAAAATGCTTTTACTTACAAATTGAAATCAGGTTAGGAGATAGGTGTTCAACTCAATAGTAGTGCATGTGTGTGCTTTCAAGGTAAGAAATGAGGCAGGATAGAGACAGTATGTACTGCTGTCAGGTGCTATAAGGCATTTACCTTGGGACAGAGTCACGTAGTTTATCTGTACTTTGTTTTTGTTATTTTTACACAATTTTTGCTTTTCATCGGTTAATGCAATGTATGAGTCTAGAATTTAGTCCCCAAAAAACAGCCTAAGAAATGATTTTATTACACTTTGACCTCCAGCTGCCTTTGAATATATTGTGAACAGCTTTTGTTTACTTTTCAGAGCTGTTAGTGTTTGATAACATGCACATTTGGGAGTGTCCCCCAAAATTATTATGGGGGGGTGGGGGGAAGGCTGCTAATATCCAGTTAAAAATGACAGAAACCATTTTATTTTTAGACCACAATGTCAAGTTTGATTTCATTCTTTATATAATGTTATAAAGTTACAGAAATATTTATGGGGCTTCCCCTATCCGCAGTCAGATTTCAGTTGTTTAAATTCCGTGCAAACATTTACTCTGCTTTTTAGAATTATCTGGTGTTTATTCATGCTCCACAAACCCAAAGGACAAAATCCCCACTTGTCAGGTACATTTATTTCTTGGGGAAAAAAAAAGAAAACCTTTTTTTCGCTTTTTCTTGACCTTGGGCAAATGAGCTTCTTGCCCTGGCAGAAATGAAATGAATGATGAATGTGGAGTGTGTCTTTGCTGAGTAATGGAGCTGCAGCTCAGGCTTTGCACTGAGGTTTTCTCCTGCACAGCCTGAGGCTGCCCAAGGACCCCCGCTGTTCATTTAAATAGGTATGTCAAATCTGCCTCCAAACGCTGCTGGTTTGATCTGTGGTAATATTTGTGAAGGTTCCATATGGACTTGAGCCCCCTGCAGTGCTAAGAAATAATGTACAGCGCTTCATGGTGCAGACGCAAATTTTCTCTGAAAAGGGATGCAATGCTGCGTTTTAGCTGTCGGAGAGGATGATGGAGCTGACGCGCTAGGCCTGTCAACTTGTTACACGGATGGGTTGCACGCAGCGAAGCTGTGGAAAATCTGTGCCTTTTAACTTTTCTACTTAATCACGGTTGTAGCATTGCCTTTAGACTGTATGCTACATTAATTCTCTTCCTGCCTTCTGCCTTTCATCCCAAGTTTCACGGAAAAAAGTAAAGCATGCAGGTCTTGTAGAGGAGCCTTATCAAACAGCTGTCATCTGACAAGCCATTTGCATTTGTTTTGGCTGAAACTGAGTAACCCAAGGGCAAGAGATTTTGTTGCATTCCATCATAACGAAGAAATTACACACTGGATAAGGGGCCTAACTTTATTTTCAGTTTGTTTATATATTTTAAGAGGTAATGTTCAAGAAACTAATCGGTTTCTCAGTAGATAAAATATTACCATATCTCTTGACCAAAGTATCAAATTGTATCTGAATAATAAACACTCTTTCTTTTTTAGGTAATAGAATTTTTGTTACATATAAAAGAAACCCAGTAATTCAGGTTGCTTTGTTGTGTTAAGTATTTTGACTCCCCAAACAACGTGGGGTTTAGCATTTGTTTCATTGTTCATCAGAATAATTTACATGTATGAATTACAGATACTTTGGTTTAACTTGAGCATTATAATTCAGATAATAACCCCTGTATTTTTTTAAAAAGTGCTTCTTATGGAATTTTAAAGTAATTATATATGTGGAAGAACATAGGATAAATGTTTTCCTAAATATATGCCAGTCACTTCAGCATCCATGTATGGTAAATTTTATTAATTATAACTTTAGTCACACCAGTCTCATTTCCTAGATAATGCAAATCAATATCATCCTAGACACTGTGACTTTGAAACAGTGACCAAATATTCACTGTTCAGCTCACAAAACTGGCCTTGTAGTTAAGTCAGGCATTGCATATAAAGTAAAACTGTGAAACTTGAGACTGCTTTCTGTGTTTGCTGTCTCCTTTGTTCTACCATGTCTTGGTGGTGGTGATGGGGGCTGGGGAGCAGGGCATCCTACCCTATATGTGAGAGGGTCATGACTCTATTGCCACTTCCCAGTGCTGCAGGGGAATTGGTCCCCTGAAGGCTGTCACAGCTCTAAATACCTGGAAATGAATCGTTGATTTTACCATTATCTTTTGCAGATATAATTTTCTTCCTCTGTGACATGGTAAAAAGACACTTAAACCAAACTGTGTGCTTCCCGTGTCGTTGACCATTTGTGATTGTGTGAGGCGTGACAGTTATCGGCTAAGCTTTTTGACAAGAAAACAGGTCTAGAGCAGGTGTGCAGGTTTGCGAGGAGACTTTTCTAATGTTCGTTATTTATTAACCTTTCTTCTGTAATGATGTTAAATCTTTGTTTTAGTATTTGGTGACTGTTTACATGTTAAGCTTATATCAAGCTTATTAGAGCAACTAATGAAAGGTAGTCCTGATGCAATTGACAGTTAAAAGCTAAAGACAATATGCAGTGCTATAGTGAATACACTTTCCAGTTGACCTATATTTAGTCCATACAGTTTTTATGTGGACGTAGGGGAGTTTTCATGGGTAGATGAGGATGGGAAGAAAGGTGCAGTTGATCCTTTCTGTCCAGAAATGTATGATAGGAAAGTAGAAAGTGAAGGAAAAGTTACTGATTCAAGGAGTTCTCACACTTTTTAAATGTGTAATGTTCTAAAGGTTCATTAGCAGGTTGGTTGGAGCTCCCATTTTCTTATGGATACATTGATACACATGTCTTTAGATTCTCGGGAAAGTCAATAAAAACCCATTTATTTTACAGTATAGCTAATATGATGTACAAATATAATGAAAAAAGTACAAAACAGTACTAACAAATATTTCTTAACAATAAAAAGTAGTTTTAATAGGAGGAAAGTAGAGACTTAGGAGTTTCTCAGAGGATCATTCCTTGAGTGCTACAAAGGCGGCTCTGTGCTTGATGGCACTGCCTCATCTGTCTTTTTTTTACCTCCAAATGGATGGCTTCCCATTTCCTTCAAAGCTGTGTAATCAGTAGGACTGGTATATTTTTTGGACATGATTTAGGGTTTCAGTTCAGGTTTCGGAAGCAGAAGGAAGAAATAGAAGAAAAAAGTTTTCAGAAACAACTGAGCAAAAGCATAAAGGAAAGGGAAGCGTTTTTAAAGAGGATGTTTGTATCTGTGCAAGAAACAATGCTACAGAGTAGAGTGACTGAGTTGTGAACAGCCTAGATTTAGACCAGGGAGAAAACCTGTGTGCACAGTTAGCTGGGAGAAGAGAAGGGATAAGCCAGTAGAGTGGGCTGACCCTTGGATGCACCAGCCTGCTGGGGCTGCCCATTGCCCACGGCTGCTTGATCCTGTCCAGGCCAGCCAAGCTGGTGGTGAGAGGAGGAGTGGGTTGGATTCATGAGGAAGACGTTTGCAATCTAGGTAGTCACAGTTCAGCTGGTGCAGGTCCTTCGATTTTAAGACAAATAATTGGTTCAGGGTTTACTCGTTTTATTAGTAGATAGGTTTCTGAAAAAAATTTAAATTCACTCACTAAAAGTGAGTTGAACATAATTTTAAACTCATTACAGGAAACGATTATTTGACTCTGGAGTGGGAGCCCTTTTATAAAA